CAAGCGAACAAACAAAACCCACACGAAACAAAACCAAAACAAACAAATAGAAACTTCCATAGGCATTTCAGTGGCCTGGCCTGGGGGAGGGTAAGCCTCAACAAACTTAACAGTTGAGAGTAGGGATACTGTCCCCAAAGGACAGTGGCATAAAATTGAAACTAGAAAGAATACTAAATGCTGGGTTTACAGAACCTTCAAAAGTCCAGCATCACAGGGGTGACCACGTAATTCAATGTAGGACACCCCCCCCCCAACAACCAGTCTAGAATCTTCTAAGAATAAAAGAGGGCACCTAAATACTTATGTCAGGACAACAGGTGTATTCATCACTTTTCTTGTGGTGGCAAAGTAACTGACAAAAACAATTTGAGGAAAGGAGGGTTTATTTGGGCTCCACTGTGGTAAGGGAGAGCCTAGCAGTAGGAACACAGGCAGCCACCTCACTGCATCTGCTGTCAGCAGGCAGAGGGAGGGAGGTGAATGCTCCTGCTCCTGGCTTTCTCCCTTGTATTCAGTCCTGGACCCTGACCCCAAGAGATGGTGCCATCCACATTGAAAGTCAAATCTCTTTTCTATACTTTTATAGAAAAGCACAGGAGTAGGTTTCCATGGTGATTCTACATTCAGTCAAATTGACCCTTAAGACTGACTACTACGGCAGGGTTAGAGTAGGACTGTCCTAGGAAAGTAACATTGCTTTAACTACAGCAGACAAGAGCTCAGCGAGTAGAGGGCTGGGCCATCTGAGCCCTGGGCCCTACCAACTGAATCACGGTGGCTCTCTGGGCACAGATAAGAAAAGGTACTTAGGGCTTATATCTTAACTTCACTGGAAGGTGACTGGGTGGGATGAGGACCTATTGAGACCCAAGTCACACATTTCCACTTCTACCCAAACTCTACTCTTCCCATACGTCTGCCTCCCACCTTCCACTACAGTGTATTTGTTTATACTCCTGCCTAGGTCAGCAATGTGAGTTTCTCACATCCATTCAAAGTTCCCCTAGAGTCCCTATGTCACCTGCCTCAGCCTTCTCAGGTTTCTGTAGCCCCTCTCAGGCTTTCTTTGAGGTGTGGCTCCTCTCTTTCCTGTGGGGTAAAGGATTTTTGTAGTGTTGTTTCCTGGCTCCTGCTACCTAGCCCTCAAGAACTGACCAGAATCCCCCAGCTGTTGACTCTGCCAGATTGACTTCCAAGCTATGTGCCTCCCTCCAGCCCAGAGCCCTGTCCCCTCCCAATGTGCTCCTGGTATCAGTCACTCAGAAAGCCAACTAGCTTCTCACGCAAAGGCATATAAACTTTGACCTCAGATTGGGTGTTAAACTCTGTGCCAAGGTCTCCAAACCTTCTGCCTGTCAATTAGCAAGGGATTAGCCAGGGCCCTATTCCTTCAGCTGTGGCTGGTAGTCCAGACAAGTCTTAGTGATAGTGAAGGTAAGGTCCCCATTAATCCAGAGCACAGGGTCTGGGGAGATGAAGGTCTTGGCTTAGAGCATGAGCTTGTGACCCTGAGGCTTCCCTTAGCAGGAAGAGCCATTGCCTGGAAACAAGATGCCAGAGTTTTAGGCTCTGATTTCATCTTCGCCAGGCCACTGGGCCTGTTCTTTCTGGCATCAGTTTCTCCAGCTAAGAAGGAAAAGAGGGACTGGTTTTATTAGCTAATAAAGGCTTTGGAGTAAAAATCCTGGTAGAGAACATAAGCCAAACAATGGGGCTTCCTGCGTTCCTGGCTGCAAGTCCCAGAACTAGGTCTTCCAGCCATGAGGAGCAGGCAGGCTCTCTGGAGCTAAGGTACTGGTAGGGACAACAGAAAAAGGAGGAAGAGAATGACTGTAGAGCAGGCTGAGGGATCTAGAAGGGTCTTTCTCCCACTTCCTGGCCAGGATTTATTTCTACACAAGCTCTTTCAATTCTCTGCTTCTTGCTCCAGAGTGAATACCATGATATTTCTTAGTGGGAGTCAGAGATGCAGTGAGTGGAATGACTCTAAAGATGCTGAGAAGGCCCACTTCACCTATGTTTGTTCTGTTACACAATTGATCCACCCCCCTTCTTTTCTCCTCTTTGTCATTTTTCTCCTCCTCCTCCTTGTTTTTATTTTTGCCAGTCTTGCTATGTCTGCTATCTACTCCTGGCTGGTCTAATATTACTATGTAGCCCAAGCTGACCTTGAACTCATGAAAACCATCGTGCTTCAGCTTCTCAAGTATTAGGGTTATAGGTATGTACCATCATGCCCAGCACTTGTTGCTTGGGGCTCAATACTACTGTTGCCATGTACCCATCTATAATGCAGTTTTGGCCACCATTTTTCTACCTCATAAACACTTGTATATCTAAGCTGGGCGGCGGTGGCGCACACCTTTAGTCCCAGCACTCAGGAGTCTGAGGCAGGCGGATCTCTGTGAGTTCGAGGGTAGCTTGTTCTACTGAGCAAGTTCTAGGACAGGTTCCCTAGCAATACACAGAAACCCTGTCTCAAAAACAAACAAACAAAAATCTGATTAATTTTTCATGTGCAGATTTTCTGCATTGGGACACAGAGGAAGAAGATCCAGATTGGATAAGGATCATAGCTATGGGGTCAGGTGTCCTGAGAATGGCTCTGAAGAAGTGCCGGAAAGAAGTGCGGGAATGGACATCAGAGGAACTCTAACTTGCTGTAGGGGGAGGATCCAGGCAGAAGCCATGCTTTATTTAAGACTCAAAATTGGGACTACTAGAAGCCCAGATGGGCAGACCTAGTAGGTTCTGCAGAGGTTCCAATTTATGTCTTCAGATACATACCAAAGTATTTAAGCAAAAGTGGTAACAGGAAGTCTGTACACACTTTGGGAGGCACGGTGGGGGGGGGGAGAGAAGGAGTTGAAAGAGTCAAGAAGCAAAGGGGAATCCATTCTTGAGGGAGCAGCTACAGGGACCTGAATGAGACTATGGCCGTGGGGCTAGACAGATGTCAAAGTAGACAGATGTGTTCTTGGTCCACTCTTTTCAGCACAGAAGCCTGAGTAATCTTGCTCAGATCATCCCTGCTCCACATTACAGATTCTCATGTTCCTCGGTGGGAGTACTTCTTGCATAGGGGCAAATGTCAGGAAAACACCCCCCCCCATTCCCACAACCTCCTCACATAACTAGTACCTGTGGAACCACTGTGCCTAGGAGGTGTACCCTCTATCAGGTGCATCCTCCAGGTAGATAGATGCCTGAGAGGCTTAATTCTTCATTCTACACTCAGCCCTGCTCAGTGTCATCTCAGACAGCATTCCCTGGGCCACCCCTTTTTCACAGTTGTGAACTGGCCTCTGCTTATCATTTTTGTTTCTCTTGACTTCCCCCACCCCCACTATGCCAGTCTCTGTGTTTTGTTGCTTATCACCTGTTTTCCCCCACCAGAGGGTAAACTCCATCAATGCAGCATTGCTAGATTCGGTCCTGTGTCCAGTGCGTAGTAGGTCCTTACAAATAGCTGGGCAATGCATAAGGATGGTTTGTGAGTGGAGTGGGAGGTGAGGGAGTGGATGAGGTTTTTTGTTTTGTTTCACTTTGTTTGTTTGTTTGTTGTTGTTTTGTTTTTCCTGGCCTTGGTCACAGAGCAGATGGTAGTGTTATTTCTGGGTTTGGGATCTCACAATGGAGGGAAGGTGAAGATGTTAATTAGGAACAGGTTGAGCTGAATTAACAAGTTTAGCGTTTCTCTTTAGAAATCTTACTCTGGGAGCACTCTTCAGGGCCCCAGAGCGCCTGCAAAACAGCTAGCTAGGCGTGCCGGGTGGTGCTGGATGTCCTGCCACTAAAAATGTGGACACACACTGTCAGGCCTTTGCTCTCAGGCAGAAGCCAAGCTCTGCACGCAAACCTGGCCCTTTGCACCGCCCGACTCTATTTAGTCGCACCCTTGCAAAGCTTAGAATACTTCTATCTCTCAAGCCCCACCCCAACGCCCCAAGACAGACTGGCCCTTTAAGAGCCTCACCCCCGGTTCCCCTCCCGCTGCTAGCGTGACAGCACTGGGACACGTGCCCGGTTGTGAGCTGGGTAGCTGGGTGGCTGCTCGCAGGCCTCCAGGCCCTTCTCACGCTACTCACGGACACCTCGCCCCCAGCCAGGTGGGGCAGGGACAGGCAGGCCGACCTCTGCTCCCGGAGGATGGAGCAATCTCAAGCACGCACACCCCAAGCTTGCGTGCGCTCCAAGCACCCCTCCGCTTTGTGGCCCCTGATCCTTCTGCCTACTTGCGTGAATCCTCCCTCCACCCTTTCCTCAGCTAGAGCCACAGTTCCCCGCCACTTGATTTCATTTTGTGGTCTGCTTCTGTATGCAAAAACATTAGCAAGCCTCTGGAGTCCAGGGGAAGCTACAAGAGGGGTCTCAGTCTTGTAGCTTGCCTAAGGTGACCCTAGAGGTGCGATCTGCACGTCCTCTATCATCCCCACCCTTAGATCAAGCAGCATGAACTTCGGTCAGTACCCAATCTGTGGGGGACAGAGTCAGTTCAATTGGCGCCACTGGCCTTCCTGTCCGTGACCTCGGGGCTGGGGTCGTTGTGCTTCTCACGCGAGCTTGGACTCAGGAACCAGAGAAGGAAAGTCACCAAGTCACCACCCAGCAGCTCTTCCTCCACCAGCCTTTCCTGGCATCATTGACTTTAAGTGGGCGAGAGAATCTTACACACCCAGGGTTTTTGGCGCACAAAAATAGTGGAAAGGAATCCCCATGGCCCGGGATGGAGTTCCCAATAACTGCTTTTTAGGCTGCTGTAGGATTTCCCCTCGAACCCCCTCCTTCAGCAGGATTCGGTGCCCATGGAGCATCTTGAAAGTGGGGTGTCCCAAGCCTTCACTTTTTAATGTGTCCGCACCTATATCAGGTGTCCCCATAATGGCTTCTTGCCTATCTCCCCCACCCCACCCACACCTAGAGCACTCCCTAAGGCTGCCCCTCCCCCTGGCCCACCACTAGGCTCCAAGGAAGAGGGCGTGGCCACAGACACAGAGTCCTATAAAGGTGGTGGTGCTTTCACCCTGACCCTGAAAGTTCTTTGGATCTTTCCCTGATCTTCCTTGGGGTCCCCAGAGAGCACACTCACAGCCAACGGTGAGTACTGAGGGCTCCTGGCTTGCCTCTCCTTCCCAAGAAAGGGTAAGTTTGGATGAAGGGCTGCTGGGTAGCCCCCCTCCATGATAAGAAACTAAGGTCCTTTTTTTTTTTTTTTTTTTTTGTGATCAGGCAAATTCCTTAGGGGGCAAACTAAGGGCAGAGAACTAAAAAGACTTGTAGCTAGTGTCAGATCTTTAGAAACAAATGAGATGCCCTCCACTTTCAGGTTAACTTCCACTGTCTCACTGATTAGTGGTGAGGAGGAAGGCTCTGGCATTCCTGCACATGTAGCCCCTTCCTCAGGACTGGCAGTGGAGGAGAGGGCTGCTCTCTGGGTGAGTAGGGTGGATATAGAGGAGATGCACTAAACTTTTCCTAGCTGTAGTCTTGTCTAATTTAAAAACTAACCCTGATGGCCTCTGCCCTCCCAAAGGGTAGCATGTCAGAGTTGAGAGTCTCTGGCAGGGCCTCAGCAACAGCCTTGGCACCACCCACTGCTCAGGGGTTCCCAGTCCCATCCTTGCTGGGATACAACTTGCTTGATAGACTGCTAGCTGGTGGAAATACAAGTTGCATTTCTCCTGGCTCTTCTTACAAAGGCTAGGGGTCCTTGGGGATACCAATTATTGAAAGACATTGTGCACACAGGCTGGCAGTATCCCCACTTCACTGAAGGAATTGGGTCTCTTGTGTGTTGGAGAGTCAGATCTTCCAGGAAGCCCCTCTCACTTCAAGGTAGCTGAACTATTTGGGGTAGAAGTTGTACATCTTCTTGCCTTCCATGGTTCAGATCTTCTTTTCCCAGGATCTGTAACTTCTGGATCTTTTTGTTTGTTTGTTTAGAAACAGGGTTTCTCTGTATAGCTCTAGCTGTCCCAGAACTAGCTCTATAGAACAGGCTGGCCTTGAACTCACAGATCCACCTGCCTCTGCCTCCTAAGTGCTGGGATTAAAAAGGTATGTATCAACACCCCCCCAACTGACTGGGACAATCTTGCTTTACCTCTGTCTCAGTTATATAACTAAAACCTCTAAGATAAAATGACTACTCCAAGGCTACTTGGACTGTAGTTCACTGCAAAGTGACTCTCCTGACTGTGCAGAGCCTTAGAGCAGTCTGCAAATTTGCATAGTTTTTCTAGAACAAGCTTAAAGAGAAAGTGTCCTCTTAGTTTTTTTTATTGAGATCCATTCTTGGCTTTTCTGATTCCAGTCAGTAGTTTCCTTATAGCCCTAGCCAGATGGGAATCTTCCATTTAGTTTTTGCTTTCTTACCACCTGCAAAAGTGGGGGAAGCCCAGGCTATTCATTCATGAGAATTGAGCACAATGAAAAGCCTTGCCTGGATTACTCTTACTAGGAGCTATTTCTAGCTGCTTTTAAAGTATGGCTCAGTTGAACTCGGAGAACCAGGGCTCAGAGAAATGTGGCTTGGGTGTTAGTTTTCTGTACCCTCTCCCATTCCTGTTCTCTACTGGGGTTATGTGGGTTTCTTTTGACCCTGAGATGAACAGAAAAACCTGATAATTCAATTTTTTATTTTCAAAGGGAGGCACCTGTGATAGTAGCTGGGCATTCCATGGAAATTTCCCTAAGAGCTCTGAATCCTGGCTCTGTCACTATTGCTGAATGACTTGGGGCAAATCAGTGACCCAATTGGAGGTTTATTTCCCTGCTAAAGAATGAAATGAGGCTGAAGGAGCAAATGATCTTTATTTCCCTATAGGATGGCTTCCCTAAAGGTGGCAGGTAGAACCCAAAGAAACTTCTTGGGTGATATGTGTTAATTGTGCATTTATTGAAATGGGTTGGGAGGTGGAAGCTGTGTTTAGACACAGAGGTTGTTTAAGATGATGCTGCCTGGGCTGGAGAGATGCCTCAGTCATTAAAGGCTAGGCTCACAACCAAAAATATAAGATGATGCTGCATAGTGGATGTAAAGCTGATTTTAGGAAATACAAAGTAAATGACAGCATTGGGGTTAATGGAAACCACAGACATTGGAAATCACTGTTTGAAATCTTGCAGTAGTAGTTAAGAGAGGTTTTCTGGAAGTGGATGACTTGGGTTGAAAGTGTTCCCACATTTCCTAGCTGTGTAACTTTGAGAATGTTAGTTACCCTCTCTGAGTCTTACTGCAGCCTTCCTCATAGGCTTGGGGCTAAGACTGAATTAAAAATGACTGTGTGAGTCTGGTGTTGGTGACACATGACTTTAGTCCCAGCTCTTGGGAGGCAGAGGCAGGCGAATATCTGTGAGTTCAAGGCCAGCCTGGTCTACAGAGCTAGATCCAGGACAGGCTCCAAAACAATACAGAGAAACCCTGTTTCAAAAAACCAAAATAATAATAATAATAATAATAATAATAATAATATTCTCCCTCTCGTGTGTGTGTGTGTGTGTGTGTGTGTGTGTGTGTGTGTGTGTGTGTGTGTGTAGTATGATCAAAACCAAACCACACTTAGCTTCCAGGGTACTTCTCTGTAAGAGAGCTCAGTCCACCTGACCTGAGCTTTCTGTGTGTGTGTGTGGGGGGGGGGGAAACTATGGAATTTTTGGCACATGGTGGCAGTTCAACAAATAATCTTTGTCTCCTTCCATGCCTAGTAAGAAGCTCTAGGTAACAGGCTTCTTTCCTTGGCGACCCTTTAGGATATTTGTCTCTTACCCTCAGTCTGACAGTCTGTTTTTTCTTTCTTCTTGCCTCACCTCTCAGCAGCCATCTAGATCATGTCTTCCATGTGTGGACTTCTAAACTTCATGTCAGTCACAGAGCTGCTCCTAGCCATCACCATCTTCTGCCTTGGATTCTGGGTGATCAGAGCCACAAGGACCCAGGTCCCCAAAGGCCTGAAGAGTCCACCAGGGCCCTGGGGCTGGCCCTTCATTGGGCATGTCCTGACCCTGGGGAAGAACCCACACCTGTCACTGACAGAGCTGAGCAAGCAGTATGGGGACGTCCTGCAGATCCGCATTGGCTCCACACCTGTGGTGGTGCTGAGTGGCCTGGACACCATCCGGCAGGCCCTGGTGCGGCAGGGAGATGACTTCAAGGGCCGGCCAGACCTCTACAGTTTCAATTTCATCAGTAATGGCCAGAGCATGACTTTCAACCCAGACTGTGGACCAATGTGGGCTGCTCGGCGGCGCCTGGCCCAAAATGCCTTGAAGAGTTTCTCTATAGCTTCAGACCCAGGTTCTGTATCCTCTTGCTACTTGGAGGAGCATGTGAGCAAGGAAGCTGATTACCTAATCAGCAAGTTCCAGAAACTGATGGCAGAGGCTGGCCACTTTGATCCTTACAGTTATTTGGTAGTGTCAGTGGCCAATGTGATCTGTGCCATGTGCTTTGGCCAACGTTATGACCATGACAACCAAGAGCTGCTTAGCATAGTCAATCTGAGCAATGAGTTTGGGAAAGTTACTGGCTCTGGATACCCAGCTGACTTCATACCTGTCCTCCGCTATCTACCTAACTCTTCCCTGGATGTCTTTAAGGACTTGAATACGAAGTTCTACAGTTTCACACAGAAGTTAATCAAAGAGCACTACAGAACATTTGAGAAGGTAGAGGCTGGGGAGAGGCAAATGGTTGTGGGAAGCAGGCAGGGTTCTGGGCCAGAACGTAACAGGCAGGTTTGAAGCCAGTAACAGAATGCACTCCATCCTCAGCAGGCCAATGGAACTTCTCTTGTCCAATCCTTCTGTGTATCAATCGGATGAGGGCCACTGAAGAGGAGGAGCCCTGTGTCAGTTCCTGTTGAACCAGGAAGATTTTTAAAAAAAAATCCTGTCTCATGGCCTCATGGTAGAAAAAAAAAAAAAATTAGAGAACGTCTACTTACTAAGAGTGTCAGGCTCTGTGCTTTCAGGGTCCCTTGAGTTGGGGGTCGCCAGTTCTCTGAGATAGGAAAGAGGCTTGGAGGCACAATGAGAGGCTATGACTATAGCCTCAGTGTGTCACCTCTTGAACAAAGGTGCTATTGACAGTGAGGGGCCAGGCCTAGATAGCGAGGTCAGTCTGGACTTGGGACATGTCTCACCTTGTGCTCCTTTGCTCCCAGGGCCACATCCGGGACATCACAGACAGCCTCATTGAGCACTGTCAGGACAAAAGGTTGGATGAGAACGCCAATGTCCAGCTGTCAGATGACAAGGTCATCAGTATCATTTTTGACCTCTTTGGAGCTGGTACGTCCTCTTCAGTGTATCATTTCTGTGCTCAGGTGCCCCAAGCTGCCTCATAACTAACTTCTCCCTCTGTTCTATTCTGTTCAGGATTTGACACTGTCACAACTGCTCTCTCTTGGAGTTTCATGTACCTGGTGACAAACCCTGGGGTGCAGAGAAAGATCCAGGAGGAGCTGGGTAGGTGGTAGCTCCATGCAAAGGACTCTAAGTAGGGGACCCTGATAAAGTCTGGGTAACCCCGTAATTCTCTTGAATCCCTGTATTCTGTAGACACAGTGATTGGCAAGAATCGAAGGCCCCGGCTTTGTGACAGATCTCAGCTGCCCTATCTGGAGGCTTTCATCCTGGAGACTTTCCGACATTCATCCTTTGTCCCCTTCACCATCCCCCACAGGTCAGGCCACAGAGTCATTGATATTAGGCCTTAGTGTACATAGCCAGTGAGGGCTCCTGAGAGGGACATGGCATGGGAGATGGGGGTAGATTTCCCTTATGGCACTGAGCCTGACTGAGCTTCCACTATCCCCAGCACAACAAGAGATACCAATCTGTGTGGCTTTTATATTCCCAAGGGACGTTGCATCTTTGTGAGCCAGTGGCATATTAACCATGACCAGTAAGTTGATGGGGCAGTGGAATCTCCTGGGTGGGCTAGGTTCATCCTCTCCTGGGCTGCAGACCCTCCTGCCCTTTGGGGATTGACCTAATTGATGTTTATAAGCCCCTGAACATCTTCTTCAACTGTCTTGTTTTGCTTACAGGGAACTGTGGGGTGACCCAGACAAGTTCCGGCCTGAAAGGTTTCTTACCTCCAGCGGCACTCTGGACAAGGTCCTGAGTGAGAAGGTCATTCTCTTTGGTTTGGGCAAGCGGAAGTGCATTGGGGAAACCATTGGCCGATTGGAGGTCTTTCTCTTCCTGGCCATCTTGCTGCAGCAAATAGAATTCACTGTGTCACCAGGGGAGAAGGTGGATATGACTCCCATCTATGGGCTGACTTTAAAGCATGCCCGCTGTGAACACTTCCAAGTGCAGATGCGGTCTTCTGGGCCTCAGCATCTCCAGGGTTAGACTGCTCTGTGTGGTCAATGGAACAAAGGACTGTTCCAAGGATTTAACTTCAGCCAGAAACACAGATTCTGGGGTTGTGCCTGCCTCCTACTTCGGACTTGTTTCTTCACATATTGATCACAGACACTGGGCACAGCAGAGGCCCACTGGAACTTCAGGGCCTTCCCAAGCTCACCAGCAACTAGGAGGTCTGAAATGGTAAGGAGGTTCCTGGGTCTCAGAGCTCCCCAGGTGCTCCATTGGCTGACCAGTTTGGAAAATGCTTAGAGCAAGTCATGCCAGGATCTGTCAGGTATAAAGGAGAAGCCCAGAACAGAGGGAGAAGACATCTTAAAATACTGCCACAGAGGTGCTCTTGCCATTTGCTAGGGCTGAACAGCCTTCCCACATGGGTCTAGGATGCTGTCTGTGGGGATCACCTTTATTCATCCTACATAGGAATAAGCAGGGTGCTCCTGTCCTTGCAAAGCTCCTATTCCTATTCAGGAAGTGCTGGGTCTTGTGTCTAGGAAGATCCAAGAACAGAGGGAACGACTCTCTGGGCAGTAGGACCAGGTCTAGAGTAAAGGGACGACTCTTAAGACAGGGCAGCTTAGGCTGCCTCTGAACTTGCTGTGTAGCCATATTTTTTTTTCTGGTTTTACTGACATACAAAGTGCTAGGATACAGTCATGGACCACTATACCATCTCTTGGTCTCTCTTCTTTACTGTATAAAATGTTCATTTAAAAAAATGTTTGTACCTAAGACATTTTTTTGGCCTGTATTTTGTTTATGCATTTATATTAGTCATATCTTAAGAGCTTTAGATCAATGCATTTAATACCACAGAGAAAACGCTAACTCAAGTATCCAGAAATATGTAGGAAATACCTACCTGAGCTAAATAAAATATTACCTGATTACTACACATGGAGAGCTGTTTTGCTATTATTATTGATTTCTTTTCTTCTCTGTTTTTTGTTCTTTTTTCTTTTCTTTCTTTTTGAGACAAGATTTCTCTGTGTAACATTCTAGCTGTCCTAGAACTTGCTATGTAGATGATGAGGGCCTTGAATTCACAGAGCTCCACCTACCTCTGCCTGCTGAGAACTGAGTTCAAGGCCTGTACCACCACTGTCTAGCCATGTGGAAAGGTTTTCAACCTGAAGTTAAGCCACATTCACACCTTGACTTCAATCTTATGCAGTGTTTTCCTGTGGGGAAGAGAGGAGCAGCAATGGAGAGGTGAAAGGACTGCTCTCAGGTGGACTGTTAGTGGTGCCGGCCTCTCTAATTTGTCACAAATGATACAGTGTATTCTCTTGCACTCTAAACAAAAGACTGCTTTCCCAATTCCACAAGGCTGGTGGAAGGGTCTGATCCATAAGCATATAATCTAATATGTATTAATCAGGGTTTTACCAGTCCAAATAAAGGAACATATGTTCTTGAGCTGGTGATGGGACTGAGTGAGGAGGGATGCTGGGATCCTAGGTCTTTGGAAGGGGGGCATCTGAGCAGAGCCTTCCTTAAGAATGAGAAGCAGTCTCTTGAGGGGCTCACATATCAATGCTGAAGCCTCATCCCTCAGGAATGTCAGAGAGGCAGTGCCAGATAGGGGTGATCTTCAGACAAGCTGTATTTGATCACAAACAATATATCACCACAGAAGGGTGGTTAAGTGTAGCCAATATGATGCATCTCTATCTACTTGTCTGTCAACTTCCTAGATCTGTTTGTTTATTTTTGGATACAGGGTCTCAATTTGTGGTTTAAACTGGCTCCAACTCTTGATCTTCAAGTCTTAACCTCCCGAGAGCTGAGATTTGCAAGCATGTACCATCAAGCCTGGCTAACATCCTAGATTGTAGGGGCAATGACCAGCTCACAGAAAATGAGCATTCTAACTTTGAAATACCCAGATTGTGATCCAGGCCTTTTTAGGAAAGCAATTGCCCACAAATCTGGGACAGAGGATGTAGTAAAAAAAGACAATCCTAGAACACTTGGTCATGCCAGATGGTAAAGATGCTACAAAGATTCCAGGAATGGATGGAATCACCCTGGAACAAGCTTGAGTAGGTTTCAGCTCCTGAAGACAGGATAGTTTGAGTATTGACAATAATTTCTACTGGGTATGGTGGCACATGTCTTTAATCTCAAAACTATACAAGAGAATTGCTTTGAGTTTAAATCTGGCGAGGGGTGCATAGCAAGACACTGACTCAAAAATATGTCCCCATAAATTAAAACCCTTCAAGTGTGTGTGAATCTATGAGCTCATGAAAATTTAATTTTTTATAAGAGATTATTTTATGCATTTTGGATGTTTTGCCTGCATGTATGTATGTGCACTGTGGTGGTTTGAAAGAAAATAGCCCCTAAAGGAAGTGGCACTATTATTAGAAGGTATGATGGCTATTCTTGGTTGTCAACTTGACTCTATCTGGAATAAACTATAATCCAGAAATGGAGGGCACACTTGTGATCTGGATCTTGAGGCAAGAAGGCAATAGGCTTTTGATGAATATCTTGAGGCAGGATGATGCACACCTTTAATCCAGACCTTGAGGCTGGAAGGCACACCTTTAATCTGGGCTACACCCAGATTAAGCCTATATAAGGATAAGGGAAGAAGGAATGTGTTCATTCTTAGCCTGCTTGCTCTCACCTCATCAGCACATCCATTGGTTCACTGGCATTGGGGCCTACTTTGGAATTTCAGCATATACAGAAAACCAACCGAGACAGTCTTGTGGGACTAAGCAGCTACTAGATTCTTGGACTTTCCATTCATAACTAGCCATTGTTGGACTGCAATCTGTAAGTAATTCTAATAAATTCCCATATATAAATTTAGAGTCATTCCATAAGTTCTGTGATTCTAGAGAACCCTGACTAATACAGGAGGTGTGGCCTTAGAGTGGGTGTGGCCTCGTTTGAGGAAGTGTATCACTGTGGGGATGGGTTTTGAGGTTTGCTATGCTCAAGCTACTCCCAGTGTCACAGAGCACTTCCAGTTGCCTATGGATCAAAGATGTAGTATCCTCAGCTCCTTATCTTGCACTATGTCTGCCTACCTGCTGCTATGTACTACCATGATGATAATGGACTGAACATCTAAATTGTAAGCCACCCCAATTAATTGTTTTCTTCTACAAAGAGTTGCTATGATTATGGTGTCTCTACACATCAATTGAAACCCTAAGACATACACCATGAGCTTGACTGGTTTTCTCAGAGGACAGAAGAGGGTGTTAGATTCCTTGGAACTGGAGTTATGGATGATTGTGGAAGAGCAAGAAGAGCTTTTAACTTCTAAGCAATCCCACCAAAATTTCACCTCAATAATGCTGTTCTCCTCTTCCTTTTCTTCTTTTTGGTTTTTCGAGACAGGGCTTCTCTGTAGCTTTGGAGCCTATCCTGACACGCTGTAGATCAGGCTGGCCTCGTACTCACAGAGATCCTCCTGCCTCTGCCTCCCGAGTGCTGGGATTAAAGGCATGTGCCACCAACGCCCAGTCTCTGTTCTCTTCTTAAGGACCATTAATTTCTCAGTTCCAGTCAAACAACATTGAGTATCCCAGCAAAGATTTCCCTTTAGCAGTTCTGTTAAGTACAGCTGATTCTTTAGCTTCAACTAACCAGAACCACAGAATCTTAGTTAAAAATAACAAATGGTATACTTACCTAGCAGGGGAGATACCACGATCATGAAGGTGCTTTTCCTAGGGAGAGGCTTATCCATTTCACTCCGGATGTGCTGACCCCTGCGATTTCTCCAAATGCAAGAAACTCAAAGACTGCATAATTTGTGGTAGTGGGGACCAGGTTTTCGTTCTCCCCTGAAACAAACAAACAAACAGACAAACGGTGCTACAGAGTCTTTAAATGTCCCTCTGAAACTTCACAAGCCAGGTTTCTGTCAACTGCACACTCGCAACGTTCTCATATTCTGAGCTCCTTTAGAACAACTCACTGAACTCTCAATGTTCCATGCCTTTTCTAGCCCAAAATTCCAAGGTCCTTCTGCAACCTCTGCCCCCAAAATATGATCAGGTCTGTCACAACAATACCCCATTTCTGGTACCACTTGTCTCAGTGTGGGTTCCTATTGCTGGGATGAAACACCATGACCAAAAACCAACTTAGGGAGAAAGGGTTTATTTTGCTTATATTTCATTTTTGAAGGAAGTAAGGATAGAAACTCAAACAGGGAAGGATCCGGGAAGATCCACGAGCTGATCTAGGGGCCATAGATGAGTGCAGTTTACTGGCTTGATTCTCCTGGCCTGCTCAACCCTTTCTTGTAGAACCCAGGACCCAGCTCAGGAATAACATCGCCTACAATGGGCTGAGTCCTTCCCCATCAATTACTAATTAAAAACGCTTTATAGGCTTGCGTATATTCTCTCACACACACCCTACCACTCTCCGAGACAGGGTTTCTCTGTATAACCCTGGCTGTCCTGTAACTCATTCTGTAGACCAGGCAGACCTCAAATTCACGGAGATCGCCTGTCTCTGCCTCCCGAGTGCTGGGATTAACGGCGTGCACCACCACCTCCCGGCCCCAGGTCTTATTCTTATGGAAGAATTTTCTCAATTGAGGTTCCTGCCTTTCAGATAACTCTAGTTTGTGTCAAATTGACAAACTAGCCAGCACACTTCCAGCATTTTTTTCCCGCTGGCTCCCTCAATCGCTGCCCTCATCGCTGTTTCTCTTAAATTTCCCGGGAGTCCCGCCCCCTGATCTCTTCGCTCCTGCGTATTACGCTATCAACGGAAGTGACATCACTCCAGGTCGGTGAGGCGTGGGGGCGTTTCCGGCGCGGTGGTGGTGGCTGCGGAGGTGGGCGTGAAGCCCCGTGGTGTTTTGGCGTCGTGGGATCGGCTTGGTGTGGTGTGGTGTGCTACGCAGGCTGGTGTAGACGGTGGGAGGTGAGCGTGAGGGAGGCCGGGTGTTCGCGGTGCTGGTTGGTTGGCGCTTCCGGGGTGGTCAACTCAGTTTGGTTTTTAGTCTGCGAGCTTCCAGGCCTTGTATTGGCAGGCAGGAACTGAGGGTGTGTGTGTGCGCGCCTTGTAGACCTTTATATATTGGCAGGCAGGAACTCTGTGTGTGCGTGTGTGGGTGTGTGTATGTAGGAACTCTGTGTGTCTGTGTACGCGCGCAGGCATCGGGTACTCACTGGGTTAGGTCTAGACATAGCCCAAGGGTTTGGATGTGAAGTGCGAGTCCCGATATAGAGAGATGTGAGGCGACTGCGATCTGATCTCTCAGGCAAGCTTAGGTTACCACTGCGACTTGCTCTCTCTCTCATTCACTTTGTTTCCTTCCATTTCCTTTCGGCCACTGAGGTTAACAGCCGGGAAGAGTGCGATTTCCACATAGTGGCTGGCAACTGACATACTTGGATAGAAAATGATGCCCAACCAGTGAGCACACTTGGTGCACTGCTCGCGTTGTCAGTTCTTTCTGTGACCTGACTGCATCTGTTAGTAAAACCTGATCTGTGGTTTAAGTGTTGGTGTGAATTGGAGGAATAGTCCTCACCACCTTCGTCAGTTGATTTTCAGTCTTCCAATTGCAAAGCTAAGAGGAGCCTTAATCCTTCCACAATACAAATGACTAACTCTGAGCTGTTAGTATCTCACCTGGAGCCCTGAGCTGTAACCCAGTTTTTTGTTATGCATTGGGCACAAATATCCTAGTTGTTGGTTTCTCTGAAGTAAAAGTGGTTGCAAAGTACCTTTTTTTTTGGTAGACGTTCTCACTGTGTAACTCTGGCTGGCTTAGAACTCTCTGTCTAGACCAAAAAGGCCTTTTGCATCTGCCTCGCTGGGATTAAGGCATGTCCCACCACAGGTTTTGGCTTTTTAACTACCAAGGATTATTGGTTTTGGTGTTGTGCCCACCCAGCTGCTTTAGAGATTATAAGTGTATACCACTATACCTGACTCTGCTTGACAGTTTCTAATAAAGTTAAAAGAATTTCGACTCTGATTGTACAAATGTTAGTTATTTAAAATGGAACTTAGAATTGAAAATAGTCCAACTGTTTATTTTGGTAGACAGACTAAAATAATTGAGTTGTACCTAAGTGATACAGTACAGACAATGTAATTAACTTTTGCTTCATACAACAGGCAAATTTCACAGATGTACTGTTAATGAAAGGAAGTCAGACATGAACCTGCATGATTCCACTTGTGTGAAGTCTTAAAACAGCATAAATTGATCTTTCATGATGTCAGAATAGCAGCATCTTTATAGAGACACAGTGGAGCTCCTTGTGATATTTAGGTTATAGGTCCATGGAGGATTACTGTGAAAAATTTTGGATGACCAAGTGTCATGATGCATACCTGTAATCAACAGTATCCACCCAGGAACTGGGGGATCTTGAGTTTGAGCCTGCCTGGGCTACATAGTGAGGCCATGTGTTAGGTTTGTGTAGTGATACTCTTTGAGATTATAACTAGATGGAAAAGTAGAAAATAAAAGGCCTCACTATTTGTCCTGTGCTAGGGATGTAACTCAGTAACAGAGTTTGTTTAGCAAAAAGCACAGGCTCTGGGTTTGATTTGCTAAACATGCATACACTTGAGTTTGAGGCCAGCCTGGTCTACAAAGGTACACAGAGAAACCCTGTCTTGAAAAGTAAAAAAAAAAAAAAAAAAAAAAAAAAAGTTATTTTATTTTTACGTGTATGAGTGTTACCTGAATGTATTTCTGAGCATCATGCATGTGCAGTGTTTGAGAAGGCCAGTAAAGGGCATCAGATCTCCTGGAATTGGAGTTAAAAGTTATGAACCACATTGTGTATGCTGGGTATTAAATTGGGATCCTCTGAAAGAGCAGACGTTTTTTTCACTACTGAGCCTTCTCTTCAACCCTTTTTGTTCAGCTTTTTAATTTTTAAAAAAGTTTTGACGGTGCTAAAAATTAAACTCAGAACTTTGTTCTTGCTAGGCAAATACTCCTCCACTGCTGGGTCACATCCCCAGCCTTCTCTTTGAAAAATTTCTGAACTATCATCTGTAATGCATACATACACTAAAACAACTGCATGGTTTTGGTGTTTTTTTGTTTTTTTTTTTTTTTTGTTTTGTTTTGTTTTGTTTGGGTTTTTTTTTTTTTTTTTTTTTTTTTTTTTTTTTTGAGACAGGGTTTCTCTGTGTAGCACTGGTTCTCCTGGAACTCACTCTAAAACAACTGTATGGTTTTGGTGGGTTTTTTTGTTTAGTTTTGTTTTGTTTGGGATATTTGTTTGTTTGTTTTGTTTTTTTTGAGACAGGGTTTCTGTAGACCTGGGTGGCCTCAAACCATGGCTCTGCCTCTGGAGTGCTGGTATTAAAGGCACGTGCCACCACCACCTGGTGTCTACATGGTCTTTGTATACCTGTATATCAATATTGCTTATTAATCTGCATGTCCCTACTTATTAATCTGCATGTCACTACAGAAAAAGGTTTTTGGTTTTGGTTTTTGAGACAGAGTCTTAGTGTGTAGTCCTGCTGACCTAGAACTCTGTGTAGACCAGGTTGGCCTCAGCTTAGATCCACTTGCCTCTGTCTCCCCTCTTACACCCTCAACACTGGAACTAAAGGTGTTTTCAGCTGGGTATGGTGATATATAACTTTAACGCCATCACTCAGGAGGTAGAGGCAGACAAATCTCTATGAGTTTGAGGTCTATGTAGCTAGTTTTAGGCCAGCCACTTACAATGGTAAGACCCTGTCTCAAACCAATAAAACAAAAGTAGAAAATAATATAGAGGTGTGTGCCATTATGGGCCTCTTCTTACCGAAACTGTCTTATTATTTTTTTAATACTTTACTTCCGACAGAGTGTGGCCAAATAGCACTAAGTACAGAGAACCTGACATACTTGCTGATGTAAGTTTTTCTTCACGGTGCACTGAACGGCTCCTTCTCTTCACAGTGACTCCACATCTGGAACATGGCTATGGATTGGCTAGGCAGTATTGTGTCAATCAACTGTGGAGATAGCTTGGGTGTCTATCAGGGAAGAGTGTCAGCAGTGGATCAGGTCAGCCAGACCATTTCTCTTACTCGGCCCTTCCACAATGGAGTGAAGTGTCTTGTACCAGAAGTCACCTTTCGGTAAGTGTCCTGACTAAAACTCAAAATCCCAGTCTGGTGGTCTGATTGACTGTTTTCTTGTCTGGGTTCTGTTTTGCATTGTGTTTTGTCAGGAAGGAGAGCTCATAGTCTTATGGGTCTTAGAGTTCTGCTGCTACTCTCAGGGAAGACTCTATGTTATAATACAGTTTCAAGCTAATGATTAAGGGTTCATGAAACCTGTTTATTACCTCTGTTAGACATGGCATTTTATTTAAATTCATCGAAGTTTTTTTTTTCAATATTATATGTGCTTTTCTGCATCAAAGGTGGCATCATTTTCCCCCCTTAGCATAAATGTGTATGTCTTTGTAGATTTGTCTGATTTGTCCTCAGGAGCACACTATAGCCAGTAACTAAAGTCCTTAATTATAGGAGTTCTTTTCTTAATATTAATCAACAGAGTTTATTCAGTTGTATCTTCACATCCCCATCTTCATCACTTTGAGAGTATCCTCCTGTATTTATATTCCCAAATAGGATGTCAGGTGTGAGCTTCCTTATTTTTCTGAGCAATTCCTTCATATTGATGCCTGCCCATACAACCTTTTGGTTGAGTACCTTTCTTTTTCTTTTTTTTCTTTTAGTTTTTTTTAGATTATTTTTAATTATGCATTTGTATCTGGGGTATGTTGAGTTACTTGCAGAGGCCAGAAGAAGGTTGGATGCCTTGGAGCTAGAGTTACAGACCAATGTGGCTGC